AACTGTTAAATTAATGAAAAAAAATAATAAAAAAATCAAATTAAAGAATTAGGAAAATCAATATAAAATAAATCTATATATATAAAAATGGACATGTATGTCCCTATATTTCACTTTTCCGCCAAAACTACACATCGCACGTGAATGGTGTTTGTATGTGGTAGTAGCCCCAAGTCACCAGGGGGGGTTGCGTCTTGATAGCTATAAGGGTGCGGGAGATATGTTCTTGAAAGTGGTTGAAAGTGGCTTTCTATTTCGAATGTTTTGTTCAAATTTAATTTGAACAATGTTCGAATTTGTTAAATTTGAACATAAAATTCAAATATTGGTTCGATTATAGAACGATCAGAAACATTGAAAATAGTTCGTTTGACTGGACGTGAACAGGAGACATTAAGAAATAGAATCAGGACCAGGAAGTGTTAATATAAAGCGGAATGCAAGATTTACAGGCAGTTTTTTGCGCTTTTGCAGGAAATCGAACATATTTTTATGCTCATGTAAAAATTCTCTGGAACGTCTGGAAACGGGAGACCTAATTCTTGCATTTTGTGAAAACGGGTAAGATTGGCTATAATGTAATTATCTTAATCTTCACTATCGTTACTTTTTGCCCACAAATAAAAACCCAGCGAAGCGGGTCCTTGCAGCTAGTTAATTATAAAAATAATCAAATTATAAGTGATCATCTGACAGGTACAGTACAAGTATGTAAAACAAACAGAATGATTAATTAACATTTAGCTTGGCATTTTCATATATATATTTGTTTTTTGTTATCATGTTGTGTACAAGCTAAAAAGTTGATCATAAATTACACAGCTATGTTCAATTCAACAGTTTTAGAACATATCAGTTCAATTTTATGTTCATAAGAAAAAACAAAAATAAAGAAAAACATTAAACAACAAATTTAAATTTAAATGAAAGTTTATTCCTGAATGAGAAATAGACTGTTTAAATTTAAATTTGTTCTTGTAATTTGAATTTTTTATGAAATTTTTATTCTATTATAGAGATATAATGGGAAATATAATCTATTCCATCAAAGAATAAAAATTTAAAAATTTCTGTTATAACAGAGTAGGCCTATGCATAACAAATAGCAATGCAAAAAAAGAACTGCAAAGTCCAAAAATAAATCTCTAGGTGTGCTCATAAATTACATATTTTCAGAACATTATTATTATTGTTGACAGATTATGGCCTGCTTGATTTTTACCAGTGATTCTCAACCATTTTTTCATCATGGTACACTTTTAATAATTTAAAAATTTGGCAGCACACATGGTAACTCCAGTAAGTACCACAGGACAATTGGTGAAGTCACAACAGTGACTTAAATTAAAAAAAACCTTTGTACACGAATACTGGAACGCATATAAATTAAAACTCAAAAAACCTTAACAGATCAGTACTAAATATTCAATAAAAAACAAATGTTTTCGACTGTACTTTTGGTCTTCTTCAAGTTTAAAAAACCAGTGAGATTCGAACAAGTGAATTCGAAGAACAAAAATTATGAAATTGTTTTCAAAAAACTTGGAACAGCACAAGCAGGTTTTTAAAATCACCGAACATTCTAAGCTTCCATGTAAACAGTTACGCATGCATGTTACCATGGTGATGGAATGCTATATGTAGTACAAACATTGATATAACTACATACATATAAACATATACAAATACAGTACCAACAAAAGGAGGGTGGGATGTGGTTTCTAACTGCTGATGCAGAAGTTACACAGCAGTACCTCCATGCGTGAAACATATTGATGGCATCCTTAGAGTTAATACAATTGGTATGTAACCCTGTTTTGTATATTTCCAGTGTCTCCAGGTTTCAAAGGTGTTCCACACAGTGAGACATCCTGATCAGTTTGGCCTCTTGTAGATCAGCTCTTATGCCAGGGTCAGTGGCATAAGTCGATAGTGCGGTGATGTGCTTTTTATTATCAATATTGTATTTGTGTTCCTGCACTCTTTTGTTAAGGGAACATTTTGTGGACCCAATATATACCAACTCCCTTTGGAACCCATTGTCCCATAGAGGAACTGTGTATACACTCGGCGCATGTTTTTTATTGATTTTGTCCTTGCTGCTGTGAAGTAGTCCATATACAGTGCTGGGCCTCTTGTATGCAAACTTTGTGTTGGTACAGGAGGCAATCTCTCTGTAAATGGAGTTGAGGTGGTGGTTGTACTCTACCAACACCTCAACTCCATTTACAGAGCAAATAGCACCACTTGACTGTGTGCTATTTAGGTTCACTGTGTGTGTTGGAAGTGTCACATGCAGCTATTTGTGTGGAGTAAGCGCAGGCAATGTTGTGTATCAGGTTCCCACTATATCCGTGCTGTACTGCTATGTCGTGAATGCTTTTCAACTCTGCTTCGGTGTCCTCAAATCTGGTATGGTGTGTGAATGCTCTTTTTGTTAGGGCATGGAAGGCAGCAATCTTGTAGGTGTAAGGGTCCACAGAGTTGGCTGGGATGAACAATGGCCTATAGCATGATTTATAATGCTTTGTTATTACCCCGGTACCATCAAGTTAAAGGTTGATGCCCAGGAAATGTGCTGCTGTGTTGCTCTTCTGATCCAATTTGATGGTGAGAGCCTACAGGTTGTCATTCATTGAACTTATGAAATGGTTTATATTCGGTTCTGCTTTCCATAAAATAAAGATGTCATCAACATACTTCTTGTATAGGAGAATGTTGGAAATGAACAGCAGTATGACTTTTTCTTCAAGCTGCCTGATCACCAACTCGCATAAATCCCGAGAGGTGGCTGCCCATAGGAACACCACGCTTTTGTAGGTAAGTGTTGTTGTTAAAGCAGAAAAAGGAGGTGTAGCAAAGAATGTATGCCAACTCCAAAATATGTTTATGATGTGCTGTGTCTCGGGGTAACTGTTAAGATTTTTTGAGTGTTAAGTCATAACAGTGATTTTTAAACACAGTTGGTTATTTAGGTATGTTTTCTAAATGCCTAGCTGCCAGTTACCGGTAACTGCTGGCAGTTACCGGTAACTGGCAGCTAGGCATTGGAAGCAGTTACCGGTAACAGTTTCCAAACGCACCCTAGAAAGGTAGAACTAATTGAACTACTTGTCTGAGGTTGCTTATGTATGCATATTCACAGTGGCAGCATACTAAAGTGCCACGACACTGGTTGAGAATCACTGATTTATACCAATGTTCAGTGCCATAGCTATAGGGAAAGTATGATGTGATAAGTCCTCTAAAAAATATAATAGCCCCAGCCTAGTTATCAGCATCCCCATATGCAATATTATATAATACTAGCTGTTACCCGTGACTTTGCCCGCATGGATTTTGCAAGTAAACCCCATTTGCATTCAATATTTCAACAATCATAGTAATTGTTATATAACACCTACTGCCGAGAATGATGAGAATTGCTGAGAATCAAACTAACCATTTTCAATTTGATCAATTTTCTGGAACGTTTACAATCATTCTATAATTGAACCAATATGCAATAACAAATTCAAATTTAAAATGGTTTGAACATTTGGTTAAAAAATTGAAATATATAAAAATATTTATAACAATGTCTGAAATGTTATTGTTATCAATTTAATACACCTAAGTACTCAATGAAGACTAAACATAGTTAAAAACAAAAAATCGTATTTAAAATAGTACAGTGAAAGCCGTTCTTCAGGTTAAGCTTTAATCCTCTCCCTCTCCCCCATGGGGGAATTTCCAGAAATCCTTTCTTAGTGTGCATTTTCATGACGTACCCTAACTGTGTACCAAATTTCACCTTTTTAGGTTCAACAATTTGCTCTGGGCGATGATGAATCAATCACTAAATGAGTCAGTCAGGAGAAGTAATTTTATATAATTAAACTTTTGTTTTCATCACATAAACTTAAGCTATATTTCAGCATGTTTTTTCTAAAAAAAATTACTACTGTTATGCATATACAGTATTATGACTAAAAATAAAGTTCTGTTTTAGGAAAAATGTATCAATAATTTAAAAAACAGTGTTTAATACTACTGATTCTTTTTTCTGTAGAAATGCATGCATCTATATTATAGAATTTAAATAACCATGATAAAAACCTTAAAATATTACTGCATTTTAAGGTTTCTAGCATAGTGTGATTATTTAATACAAGTGCAGTATCCAAAGAAGTATTGTAGAATTTATGATATTTCCAAACTTTTTGTATATTTCCATCTGTACTTTCTTCCCTATTTTTTGTTTCAGATTTATTTTCAGTTGCTAAGTAGTACCTTTTTAATAACCATGCTTTTACCTTTCTCTTTCAAAATATTACCATTAATGTTCCTCTGTACCTCATATCATAACAAAAACATAGTGGGAACAAACAATTACCAGACAGTATTGTCTGTTTGTCAAAAGGGGATCTTCACCCAATTTCATTTACATCAGTTCCAATTGGCCTAAGGTGTTTGTTGAGGCTGATATAGTAGCCCTGTTAGATGCCATCTCTTATTAAATGTAATAATTATAATTAAATTATTTGTAAATATTAATTTAATTATTAAATGTAAACAAGCAATTATTTATTGTGGCATTAAAAATTGCAGTCTGCCATTGTGACAATCATATTTTTAAATTTATTTCATTTAAAATATATGCTCTCCACCTCAAATTAGAACTGTAGCGTTTTGTCCCTGTACTGTACATCACACTTTTCCTTTAACAATAGAGTCATACCAGTCATCTATCTAACACCTTTTGGGGAAAAATATTTTAATTGAAATAGCATGCCTTTTGGTTTGCATCAGAAGTTCATATATAATTAATTGGAACCTCTTGCTCTAAGGTTTCCAATATCTAGACTCATCTTTCATCTATATACCTGTTCTCGAGATTAAGGAAAGACAGACAGATGACAGTGGGAATTTATAGATCTACAATTTTATCAAATTGCAGCCCAAGAGATGGTGCCTAACACCTGCCTCTAGTGACAAATTATTTATGAATTAATTAAAAATAACATGGATTAGTAGCCCAATTTAATCCAGTAGTCATTTGGGATATTATTAATATATTGGGTTTTGAGATGTTTGTATATGTATTTTTAAGTTGTGTGATTGTATACCAGGGTTGTCCAACCTGTTTTCCTAATGGGCCAAATTAGAAATTTCAGTATATTCAGCAGGCAGCAAAGGTAATTTATATTAATATGTTTTTAAAAAGTTCATAATGTGAATATCAAATTTTAATAACAAATATATATTATTACAAAAAAATACTATATTCTTGACAGTAAAAAAAACTTATACTCACACAAAATAAAAATAAATTCAATGTGATTTTTGACATTGCCTTCCTTTTATAATATTGTAAATATCTGCTTTTATGATACTAGTCTTAATTTTAAGAATGTTAGTTAAATGGGAATCACTCAACCTATTTCTTTCAGCAGTTTTGATGTTTTTAATGCACAAAAAGAATTGTTCACAGCAGTATGTACTATCCCATATGCATTACAGTTCTTCTAAAACAGTTTTCTAACACCAGTTATGTTATTATGACATCAAAGTGTATCCAGTGAAACAAGAATAAGTTTTACAACATACTTTACCAAAATAAATGAAAATATACCTAAAAAATTTAGGGTGCTGTGGGCCACATAAAAATATTAAGCAGGTCGCAGGTCGGACATTCCTGGTCTATACTGCATATGAATTTCTTTTTGTTCATCAATGAATATAATGTCTGCACTATTGTGATGGATTGTTTTTGTCTGTAAATATCACTTGTTCATACTTATAGTATATTTTGTGTGTTGTTTTCTATGATCGTCTTAAATGCGTATTTGTAGTACAGTTATATTAATTTCAAAAATATCAGCTCAATGCAATACGTAAAAAGTTAAATGAAATGTTACATGTTATTATTAAAAAGTAATTATAAAACATTTTGATATTTATTAAGAAATATTTTATCTTATAAATTGAAGTGGAGAGAGAATAACTTTTTTTTTCCCCAATGATTTACTGTTTACAACAGTCACTCACTGCAGTCTAATTCTCAACTAATCAGTAATCACCATCAAAACAGTCTCAAAACTGATAGTAATAAAGAATTTAATATGAAAATTTTGTAACTTTTAAAGACTATTAAACCTTGAAGATAAAGCACAGTGCCAAAAGTGTTTGTTCATTTAGTTTATTTTAACAATGTATTGAAGTAACTCCAAATAAAGCAGTCTTGTTTGATGGTGATTTGTTTACTGTTTACATTTGTATGAATATTTCTGCTATAATTGTTTAATTATTAAATAGTTCTATTATTATATTATTACCTTTTGCATGTCCAAACTTATCACTGTAGTGTTTCTCATTTGGTACAGCATCATTATATACCAAATATGCAATATCCTATAATTATTATTTTTTAAATATATATTCATATTTATATATAAATAATATATTATATAATTTTTAGTTTCAATTTATGGTACTTATTAATTAAATCACTGCACGGTGCATCGCATGTTGTGTTTCAACATCATGCTGCTCTCTGTTGTGTTGCAAGATTTCACATTGCCTATAAAACAATGAAGGCTAATTGTATTATGCTTTCAAAAAAGGAATTTAAAGTGTGTAAACATTAAAATCTAAATAAGAATTATCTGTTTCTAAAATTTAAAAATTTATTTTTCCTTTCATTTTTAATATTAGCCTTATTTTACAAATAATCCACTTTTATCTATTGGCATGCAAATTAATCCATCAGTTTAGCATTTCACATGAGAGCATAACTACTGTTAAGCACAGTTAACTGACTTTTAAATGTCCATGACAAAGAGATTCAGACCTGACACTGGCACTGTTTCTATAACTAAAAATTTCTCATTATAAATTTGAGAATTTTTTCAATTATATAAGACAAATATTACTTTTTGTTTCTACTGATTACAAATGATTGATTTTAAATAAACATGTGATATTTATTTTAGACAGTTTTCACAGTTTACTTTTTCAGATTACTCTTATCATTTTGCAACAGAGTAAGATGGTAAGTAACTCTGTTCCAAAATTCTGTACTTTGCAAAAAACAATATGGTTAATTATAGTTAACCAATAATATGACAGGAAAAAATATGTTAATTATTTTACATGGATTTGGATCATAAACATATTCTTTCATTTCTTTCTTAATTCATAAACTTTGAATCATACTGTCTTAATGATTCCTCTTCAGTATTACATAATTATTTGTATAATGGACTCATTCTTGAGTGATGTTCAAATGAATTCACATCCACCTATTAGTGAAATACGACTGATGACTACAGTATATTTTAACTATTGGTGGGATACTTCAGATGTTTACAGTATTTGTATAGTCATACAAAGAAATGATGCATCTATCAAGTGATATTCAAAGGCTTTCACAATTAACCACTGGTGAAATACTTCAGATGATTCTAGTGCCTATAAGCAGACATATATCTAACTTATCCACAAGGATTTTCAACAGTATTAAAATTTAACTGCTGGTGATGGCTACATTATTATATGTTATTATATGTCATATTGTTTGTATACTGGCACAATGAAGTGACCTTCTTTATCAACACTTGAAATAATTCTTTATCAACACTATCAAAATAAAATTTCAGTATAAACTATCCAGTAAAACACTATCCAAAATAATGTTTTACTGGAAAGAATATCTGTACCAAAATCTCTTTGTTTACAAATTAAGAAAGAAATGAGAAAAAAATGTTGTTCAATGGCATCACTTATACAAGATATACAAGGTAGCTTCAAAAAGTTTCCGGAATTATGTGTACGATTGACAAATCAAGCAACATGTCCTTCAGCAACCACACATTTTTGCTGCTGCTGGTATAGCTGCCAAAAACATTCTTGGGAAAGTCGTCTCACGACAGCACCTGTAATGCAAATGTTGCCCTCTGCATAACCACATCCGCATTCTTGAAGTGGCGTGTCTTAATGGCATCTTTCAACCAAGGGAAGGGGTAGAAATTGCATGATGTCTGCTGTGAGTATTCGTGACACCATTTCATAGCATACACGGTGCACGTTCAATTGATCATGCAGGATGGAATGACAACTCCCAACCAAAATTCTTGCCGTCATGGTGATCTGCTCAATTTATTACTGGCTGTCTGATTCTACTATTGTTAATTATTGTACATTTATATTGTTAATTATTGTACAGCTATATCTGGCAACACTGGCAAACGTGTTCTGTCGTCAGAGGTTCGTCAATTTGAAATGTTGTAAATAAGTTCCGCTAGTCAGTAAAGTTAAGTAATAAAAAAACAAAAGAAAACGAAAGGTAATGCTTCATTTTTTGTCTTAACATGGTAGCAGAACGTGGTTAAAAGAAAAAAGAACGAAAAAAACAAGAAGCGAAAAGAGTTAAATAGTTAAAGAAAACAAAGAAAGAGCACACGTGGTAATGGCGGCGAAGAATAGTGATATCAATATACCAATATTTGACGGAGCAGATTACAGTAACTGGAAATTACGTATGTTTAAGTTTTTACAGTTCAAAAAGTGTAAAGATGTAGTAATGAGAGCTAAAATTAAGACCGATGATGACGAATGGGACGAACGAGATATCCAGGCGACTAATTATATCTATAGCGGAATAACTAACAAACAGCTAGAATATATAAGCGAACTTGATACGGCTTACGAAATTATCCAAAAGTTTGATGAGATGTATTTGAAAAAGTCAACAGCTCTGCAAATTGTGTGCCGACATAACCTTGAAAGTATCAAATTGAAAAATTATTCAGATGTAAGCTTATTCTTCGACGCGTTTGAGAAGGCTGTGAACGAATTAAAGCAGGCAGGTGCAATGATATCAGAACAAGAAAAATTAAACTACATGTTAAAATCGCTACCACAGAAGTATAGTCATATTGGTGATTTAATAGATGTTTTACCAGAAAAGGAGAGGACTGTTGACTATTTGAAAAGCAAAATAAAGTTAAAAAGTGCAGAGGAAAATTTTAATGAAGAGTCAAATGATAAATCAAATGTATTTCGAGCAGAAGCCAGGTCATCNTTCGAAATAGAAAAGTCAGTTAACTGTGCATAACTACTGTTAAGCACAGTTAACTGACTTTTAAATGTCCATGACAAAGAGATTCAGACCTGACACTGGCACTGTTTCTATAACTAAAAATTTCTCATTATAAATTTGAGAATTTTTTCAATTATATAAGACAAATATTACTTTTTGTTTCTACTGATTACAAATGATTGATTTTAAATAAACATGTGATATTTATTTTAGACAGTTTTCACAGTTTACTTTTTCAGATTACTCTTATCATTTTGCAACAGAGTAAGATGGTAAGTAACTCTGTTCCAAAATTCTGTACTTTGCAAAAAACAATATGGTTAATTATAGTTAACCAATAATATGACAGGAAAAAATATGTTAATTATTTTACATGGATTTGGATCATAAACATATTCTTTCATTTCTTTCTTAATTCATAAACTTTGAATCATACTGTCTTAATGATTCCTCTTCAGTATTACATAATTATTTGTATAATGGACTCATTCTTGAGTGATGTTCAAATGAATTCACATCCACCTATTAGTGAAATACGACTGATGACTACAGTATATTTTAACTATTGGTGGGATACTTCAGATGTTTACAGTATTTGTATAGTCATACAAAGAAATGATGCATCTATCAAGTGATATTCAAAGGCTTTCACAATTAACCACTGGTGAAATACTTCAGATGATTCTAGTGCCTATAAGCAGACATATATCTAACTTATCCACAAGGATTTTCAACAGTATTAAAATTTAACTGCTGGTGATGGCTACATTATTATATGTTATTATATGTCATATTGTTTGTATACTGGCACAATGAAGTGACCTTCTTTATCAACACTTGAAATAATTCTTTATCAACACTATCAAAATAAAATTTCAGTATAAACTATCCAGTAAAACACTATCCAAAATAATGTTTTACTGGAAAGAATATCTGTACCAAAATCTCTTTGTTTACAAATTAAGAAAGAAATGAGAAAAAAATGTTGTTCAATGGCATCACTTATACAAGATATACAAGGTAGCTTCAAAAAGTTTCCGGAATTATGTGTACGATTGACAAATCAAGCAACATGTCCTTCAGCAACCACACATTTTTGCTGCTGCTGGTATAGCTGCCAAAAACATTCTTGGGAAAGTCGTCTCACGACAGCACCTGTAATGCAAATGTTGCCCTCTGCATAACCACATCCGCATTCTTGAAGTGGCGTGTCTTAATGGCATCTTTCAACCAAGGGAAGGGGTAGAAATTGCATGATGTCTGCTGTGAGTATTCGTGACACCATTTCATAGCATACNGTCAATTTGAAATGTTGTAAATAAGTTCCGCTAGTCAGTAAAGTTAAGTAATAAAAGAACAAAAGAAAACGAAAGGTAATGCTTCATTTTTTGTCTTAACAACTATACTGCCCAGCGTTCAACAGACAACGAAGGAAGCTCATTGACTCTGCCAACTCCGAAAACGAAATGTGGCCTTGTGCACTTAGTCTCTTTATCAACAATAAAAACATCTTCAAGGCCTTTGCATGCAGTATTAAGATTTTAAGCTAGCATTTGTCCCTCTTGGTACGGGCCACGTATTTTCATTCTTTGTAGCGCTAAATGGCCCCATCTGTAAATACCATTGTTAATGTTTATTACTACTTGGGATATTGTTTTATAGTTGTATGTGGCACTGTAGCCATGATGTGTAACGGTAACCTCCTTTTTGTTTAAATAAATGGCCTGATGTAGGACCATGGGATCCCAAACCCTCCCCTTCTCTTCCCGCCTTTATATCCCCTCCCACCACTCTACTTCTCTAATCCATCTTTCTCCCATTTCCCAAGTGGCTATGCTTCTGCTCGGCCCTTCTCTTTCTCTCACTGTCTCTCTCACTGTCTGACCTCACAATCTAGAACAGAACAGACACTTTCTCTTCAGACGTTGATGTTGACGAATGACTACTTCAGAAGTCAATGGCGATACTCTCTCGTCTCTCACAAAAGTGTTTTTGCCAGTGCTCGAGAATGCTTCGTGGAAGATTCAGCATAGTCATCCCGAATCAGATTTAAGGTCTCGGAGGGTTTTTCCCCCCAATAACACTCAAAATTTGATATTTGCACGTTGTTCTTCCACAAACATTTTCGCCACACTTTGTTTCACATCATCTCACTAACACGACTTTCAGTGAATGATAACCGTTGTCATCTTTGCAGTGAGACATGTTCTCTTTTTTTATTACTTTTAATTCATAATTCTGAGAACTTTTTGAAGCTACCTTGTATTTAACAAAAATAATAGATTTGAAATTTTGTGTTTTTTTACTGTTGTTGGAATTTTGTTAAATGGGGATGGAGATCTACTGCCAGCCAGCATTTCTACTTTTGATGAAATAAATAAATAAATAATGTGGTGGACATAGGACCTATATTTATTAATATATTATTTGTCCATTAAGCAAATATTTAACCAAAATGTTGACTGTAAATCTTGTATGATTGCTCTGATTACATTTTTTAATTATTGCTGAGATAATTTTTGTACTTAGAATTACAAAAATTTTGTAATTTTTGTAAGAATTAATTTTTATATGATTGCTGTGATTATTTTTGTATTAATTGCCTTCGTGATTTTGTAATTTTTTATCTTTGTTATATTTCTTTCAACTAACTTTTGTTTATAAATCTTTTAGTATATTACTTTTGGAATATGTTAGTTTTGTCATCTATTTTAGATTTGAGTTCTGTGGGCTCAAGGAATTGTTGTCATTTAAGTTTTGCCTACGATTTTTATTCACAAACTCTTATTCTAAGAAAAGAATGGTTCTTATTCTAAGAAAAGAATGGAAAATAAAAATACTTTTACTTATTACTAATTGAATAATAATTTAATGGTTTAATGTAACAAAATTTTAAAAAGCACTTAATCATGAATATTTAGAATATTAATTTTGTTTTATTTTTAAATGAATTTTGGTATTGAATTTTTGAAGAGTGTGCTTTAACATAAATTAAATTAACAAGGGAGTATTTGATTGTAAAATTTACGAAAATTAATTTTGGTTATTTTCAAACAATTTAATCAAATTTTTAAATACAGTGCATTTTACAATAACAAAAAAGAAAATTAATAATATTGTCTTCTTGTTACTGTTGTTGTTATTAATTGTACTTTTTTTCAGCAAATTCATTCTTGTTAAATTCAAATAAATTCTAAATTTTAGATCAGCATGCTTTTTCGATGCTGCTAGAAAATATCTCTGCAATGCGGCACAACCTCAGAATGCAACATGCCACCCAAAGTGTGATTTAATTAATACGTTTCCTCTATCTTACAAAACAACACAACATAAACAAGCAAAAATAAATTGAATACATGTAACGAATGCAAAGACACAAATTGTATACATTAAAATGAATAAATTATTCAAATAATATATAAATTGGTTCACAATTCTTTCTTTAAAACAAATTTCAAATTCAAATTTTTAATCTTAAATTGTTGGAACTAATTATTATTCATCATTAAACTCAATCTTATATAAATGAGTTAAGAAACTCCTTCAAAATTACAAAAGAAAAATAATTCAAAGTATGTATTCACTTATTTCTAATATCTTAATTCTCTTTATAACATTATTTATAAAAGCTTGAATAATTATCAAAATATTTGCATATATTTTAATACTAACGTAAAACTATTTTTATATCACATTACTTTACTTAATAACCGATAAAAATTAACTTTTTTGATCTTTCTTTCGTACAGTTTTTAAAATTATCCGACATATTTCAATATTCAATTTCGGAACTATCGAGAATCCGACGATTAAAAAATAACATAAAACTTTTTACGTCACGGCTTTAAATTGTTTAAACTCGAGCGAGCGGAGAAATTTGTATTACGACTAGGACTAACGTCACAAGTTTATTATTATTTTCTAATTAATAACTGTACAACTGTTGTTTGAGCCATCATAGAAGAGAGTTCTCAGTTAAACAATCAAGATTTGAGGTTGCATTTTAACAACATTTAAATTTAAGCAACACAAATAGGAGAGAGTCATACACTCTTGTTCTAATTAATCATAAGTAACCTCTTTCATTATATACAATTTTATCATTTTTTATAAAAAATGAAAATATAAATATTGTATTTATTCTATACAAACCCGTTTTTTCTTGATCACAGGATTTAATATTTTGCTAATTATTGAATTATTAGAAGAAATATTTTGTTTGGACAGAACCCATTTTCCTGTTTGGCCAATATTATTAGATGATATATATGCATAACTTTCACCATATCTCAAGTGGTAAAATTTTATGGGTGGGAATTTATATACAATTATCCTGTAAAAAAAAAAATCATTAACAAATTCTTATTTAAATAATTAATCTCAGTTTTGTGTACATAAACTTAAAAAACATTCGTCATTTTTGTATAAAATAGCATTTCATTGGAAGATTTGTAAAAATTTGAGAAAATAGAAAGTTAGAAAATAGTAAATGGAGACCTTTTTCAAAAAACCTATAGAAAACTTGGTTAGATTTACCTTAGGTAACATTAACCTAAAAATCAAATACAGTATTTTAATGGATTTTTTTAAAACTCCTGTTAACTACACAGAACTCTTATAAAAACATACCAGTAAACTCCTATAGGTTGGGTTAAGTTATAAATGTACTGGTGATCCACATAATGGCCAAATTCCTGCAGCCCAGAACCGGTGCCGGATAGAATCATTGGAAGCGTTATACGGTATTTCGGTGCGTAGCATCCACCAAACCGCGTGAGGTCCGTGCTCTGCAAAGAGCATGCGCGAATGCGTATAATCTGGCTGCTTGGAAGCTGTTCCGTATTCGACGATACGGCGCTTCCATTCCGCCTCTGATATTCGAATATACATTAGCGATCTTATTTTTTATTTTTATTTTTTTTCACGTGTAGTATAGAAATTTGTAATAAGATACGTAATGCGGTTATAATAATTCAAAGTACGTTAAAATACGAAAATAATCGCGCAATATGTATTTATATTTTAAAAAATACAAACTTAGAATATACCACTTCCGAGGACGGCACGCCACTGGTAGAACCTCGATTCACCGGGACTCGAATAATCGCAGTTCTACCGTAATGGAATGTGGGGCAAGAATGCGCTACAGGCGAGAGTACGAGCCGCATTCTTTTGTCTTATTTTACGTGTTGTTGGCAACATCGCGCGTATCACTCGATTAAGCCGATGGCGGACATGACAATACCGAGAGTGATTTCGCTATCCCGAGATTAAGGATTATTTGTTGTTTGAAGCGTTTTTCTGTCCCGATCTCGCTTTCCTATGTTTGGAATTCGGGATTGTATCTTAAATACGTATGTAAATAAAAATAGTTTAAGCGTAAGGTAAGTTGTTCTTTCGATTCTTACTAATGCTGGTAATGTCGGGGTTGACCCCTATCGACGTAGAAATTAAACGCATTATTCGGCAGGAAAATCTCGTCACCTTACCTGGCGCGATTATAGCGACTGGGATGTCAACAAAATGATTAGAGTAGGTAAGATTCACCCCAGTTTGACCTCGATCGATGATATCGAAAAATTCAGCGTGGACAAAAATACCCTCCCGAATTACGATTAACACCCCTCCCGTCGGCTTGCCCTTGACGTTTACTTCGAAGAGACGGGTGATCGTCCCGTGTTTAGGATTTACACTGACGGTTCCGAGATGGGTGACGAAGTGGTGTCGCTTTGTAATTTACTAAGACTAAGGCAGCGAGCTTCGCAACGCTTGCTTCCGTTTAGATTTGGGGTGGCCAACAGTTTCTGCCCCCGGGCCAAATTGGAAAGATAACTTTTTTCACGGGCCGAACCAGAGCTGTATGGGAAGATTTTGAGGCGGTGTGAGATCTCATTGTGCTGTCACCCCGTAGAGACTGAATTGTTGATACATTTTTCATATTATCGTGCTTTATCAACACTCTACGCTGTACTTATGAGATTTGTAATGGAGGGTTAACTCTAAACGCACGGTGAGTTGTTGACCTTTTTTTTTTAGGCGTCAGAACTTTTCATCGAGCTATTCGGACTTCAGTACCTAATATTGAAAGATTGATCGCGGGCCACATAAATTCATTAGATGGGCCGGATCTGGCCCGCGGGCCGTATGTTAACCATGCCTGATCTAGATACACACACTGCTCGATAGTGCGGGCGGAAACTAGCTGTTTATGTGAGCTTAATTCGCATTAGGCGTAGGAAAGACAAAAGACACTACTTACACTATCGCATTTATTCTGGCAGTAGGGTAGCTTTACACAGGATTGCGAAGTCTGATAGCCGCTTAAAACTCGTCCATCTCGTACACCACATTCTCAGACACTTAGACAACATTAGAATAGATTTCCAATGGGTCCCTGATCATGCGGGGATTCCCTGACCGTTGACCGTCTTGCCAAACAAGCTGCAAAGTCTTCGGTCATTAGTACAGTACTTTCGGTTACACTCCTACCGCGTACAGTACCGTACATCAACAATCGCGTCAAGAAGCAAATCTTCATTCTCTGGCGAGACAGGTGGGACCGTGACACCACTGGTAGGCTCACCTACACTTTCATTTCCGAGGTAGACACCCTCACTCAGCTACTTACGGGACACGGCAACTTTAAGCAATACTTGCATAGATTTAACCTCGGGGACAATGTACAATGCGACTGTGGCATTCTGGAGGGCCAAACACCACTTCACTTAGTTTTACAATCACATTAGGGATAGTTTAAAAGGAGAGCTGCTATTCTTGAAGGGTACAACTGGCCTCGCAACTCGCACCAACTCGTTCACACGCGTACAATGTTCCATCATCTACTCGCATTCATATACCTAGTGGGGCTCTCGAGAGCACTCACTCCGGGAGACGGACGGCAATTAGCTTTCCCTCGCTTTGTTTTGACTGTCGGTATATAGCTGCCTTTCAACTTTATATTTTGATTCTTTTTCAGTCTAAATTCGGTTAGTTTAAGTTAGTCCTAGACAGAGGTGTCGTTTCCACTATAGAAAATACAGTACAGAAGACTCCATATCTCACATTTTCGCAGGTATGGAATTCCATACCTCAGAATATTGAAAAAAATTATTTAAAATTTAATGCGAGGCAAGCCAAGGCACTCGTTCTCTGTATGAAAACAAATTTTTTCCTCGGATGTCGACCAATCGAACTCTTACATAATCCAAAGTATCAAAATTTTTCTAAGTTTAAGCGATGCATCACCATTTTGTGAAAGCGGGGTCCCGCTTTCACAAAATTCCATACCTCAACTTTTAAAGAACCGACACCCATAGCCCTAGATGTTAGATTAAGGACTCGGCTTGATTTCCGATTAGGTTATGATAGGTTAGGATAAAATTAGATTAGGGTTGTTATCTTTAGTCGTCTGGTTGGGTTCGTCTTAGGTTATGATAGGTTAGTTAGTAAGTTAATGTTTAAAAAAGAAATTGGGGTATTGCTCGTTTGTCTTTTGTCGGTCCGTTCGTCTTGTCTACTTTGTTGTTGTGTTCGTTTGTATTCACACTGTCTGTCTACCTGTTAATAGTATTAAGATTCGCCCTCGCGTTCAGTTTTATTAGTATTAAGTAGATATAAGTGTTTCTACTAACAGCCACTTGGCACTAACTTCTACACTTAGCTATTCGTGTCGGCACTCAATTATTGGTGTTCGCTACACTCGGATTTTCTTTTAGACCCTTCGGGGGACTACGACCTGGCAGCCTAAAATCTGCACTCCAACATCAAACTTAGAGGGTACTGTAGCCTTATGTACGCCGTTCGGAGGAATCCTATCTTTCTCTACTGTCTATCTTCTCTCCCTCCGTCTTCCCCTGTCCTTTCCCTTACCCTCTTTCTACCGGCTAAACACATTGTGTACGCAGATGTCTTTTATTGTATGTCACGATGCCATTAACTTATCCAATGTAAAGTAAAAGTACCGTGTAAAAGAGTACGGATTCGTACTCTCGCCCCACGAATTACCGTTTAGTAATATTAATAAAGAGGAATTGGTTTAATTAGCTAGGTTACTCGAACCTATCTCATTTAATAAAGATCGGCAAATTCAATTTAAATGGAAATACGGTATGCCTTACAAGGAAATATGGAAATACGCTTGGCTCATTTGCCTATTTCTTATTAATTGCATCGCAACATTTCTTTGCAGATTTAAGCAAATTTTTAAGAAAGAGTGACTCGAGGAGCTTTCTCGATACTGCCCACAATGGAAAAAATGTTCTACGGCCTTACAACGAAGGGCATTCGGTCACTAGCTTACCAGCTGACGGAAAAGAATAAATCGAAGCCTCCATTCGATCGTAAACTTCAGTTAGCTGGAAAATACTGGGTTATTATTTCCTCGAAAATTCAGATAAATTTAACGGACCATCTTTATCTCTGGGCCAACGCGAAGCCGCGAACGTTGCTCGAGCAATGGGTATCGATCGCCCGCAAATTGCAAAATTTTACAATACGCTGCAAGAACTATACCATAACAACATTTTGCTTCAAAAAATAGTTAACACGGACGAAACTGCGCAGAGATTACCAAAAGTAATCTCTGAAAAAGGCAAAAACAAAGTCATTCGTATCTACAATAAAAATTCTGAGACATCTTCGTCGGAAGAATGGATAAAGTGTAAGTGATGCGCACGAAGAATGCTTACTTTATAATTTCGATCCGGGTGATTTGACTCTATCCTTTACGTTGTTGTTGTTGTTATTGTTTGTTAAGTTATAGCAACGCAACGCTCGGGCGATCTGACTACGGGAGATGCCTTCCGGGAATTCTTTTTAAGGAAAACCGGCCCCTATTTAGGCGTTACGGATGTGCAGAAAACCCGAGGGCGAACCCACGACCGAACTGTCCGCTCGGCCACCGGTGGACCTATCCTTTACGTACCGTACGCGAAATGTCTCTATTTCAATATTTACATTAGTAAATGTCTGTCGACGGGCAGAAATAATCCGAACGAAACAGTCATTACGTAGAAAGCTACGCTTTATAGCATTCTACGTAACGACCGTTTCGTTTGGATGGTATTTAAAACTCGTTTTTGTAACGAAACTCCGTAGACTAATGTTCAAATTTACAAACGAACAAATTGTAATATCGAATAAAGCATTACGTAGCCTATTATATAAATTTTCATTTATATTCAAATAGTGTAATTTTTATTGCGAGATACGAAATGCACGCGAAGGAAGTAATAAATGAAAGAAAATCGACTTATTGGCGGCGGACGACAATTTTGCCACAGGAACAAAGTCCGATTTTTAAAAAATAATAATAATTCGAGTACTATTTAGGCCACAATAAAAGTATAAACTAGAAAAAATTGTTATTTACCAGCGCATTAACGAACTTTAAGTCGTCGTATTGCCCAAATATTAACACAATATCATTTGTCGCCTATTCGCCACAATAACAGATTTTTAACTAGTTTCTAGCAATGTAAATGTGAGAAGCGACGGAATTCGATAGTAACGTATCGACCTGGAATTAATTATCCGAAATTTCAGCCGTAATCAAACTGCATTTTGAATTTAGATGAAATTTTATTATTAGAAAGACAAACGAGGATAATATTTTCCAGTTACTGCGCCGTCAAAAAAGTTAAGCCTTCGCGGATAAATATTAATATTACATAATAGTGTAATAGTCGTTTTTTATAAAAACGAAATCGTCTTATCTAGGAATATATCAGTCAGAAGAGCACTTTGACAGTCTAATATTCATTCGATAAATTCAGATATCGCGTTATTTAACGAGTTAGAAATTATAGATATTTCTTAATAAATACAATCTAAGATATATTTTAGCGGGGAAGGCAAAGGACAAATCGACCGGTTTTATATACTACAATTACCAGAGTAACTACTGTACATCGGAGAGAGAGAAGGTTGAAAATCAAAAAATTACCATTTCCCGGGCAAAAAAGAATTTTAACAAATCTTTGGCCATTGGTTGGTGGAAGGTTTTTAAAAGTGTTTTACTAGACTGGGAATTCTGCCCGTTCGGCGCAGAGGCGTAGTTCCATTAGTTACAAAAGAAACCCGGGTGAGAAACGTTAGTCTAAACTCCGGTCGATCCGATTAAAATATTTCCCTCCGGATAACGCGCCAAATATTCCCCCCGAACTTTTCTACATCCTTACATTGGCGGCCGAGTTTCGACACCCTCCGAGATGTCGACCGTGGGTAAAATACCGTATTAAAGTTCTTCTTTAAACTAGGGACTAAAGTCGGTTTATTTCGTAGACATTAATTTTTATCGTACAGACACTTTTTAACTTTTTCCCGGCTTTTTTCGACGGTGCGGCCACCGTTTCGTCATCGTCCGGTAACGCGGAACGTCGTAGGCGATTGGCAGTTTTACTTTTCCGGTAAAGTCGACCGAGTTTCTACGCGGATTAGCCACTTTCTATTCCTATTTCTATAGAGCGAAACCGTCGCATTGGAAATACGTTGTCGTAAACGCGGTGGTTTACGCAACGAATTGGCAAAGTTACAAAAAATAATAAAATAAAGACCGAGTTTTCGGACCGACCGGTGTTTCGTCCGGCGATTTTTCTCGACCTTTCCGCCGCCTAAGGATCCGGTTCGGTACGTTTCTAATCGTCAGTCGAGTCGGAAGGCGCCTTTGGCCAACGATGGGCGGCGGAGATTCGGACCCAGTCCCGGCGCCTCCTCCCGCAACCGGAAAAATCCCCTTCGGGCAAAAATAGGCGGGAGCGCGAGAATTTGCCAGCGACAAATAGAGAAATTTCCTGACGGAGAACGAGTAATACTAAAGGCAGTTTATTTAACGCCGTATTTAAAAAAACCGATGGCTCGGCCGCCTAACCAGTCGCAGTTTCTATCGGCGGGATAAACGCGCAAACGCGACGGATGTCCGTCCGGCGCTCCACCGGATAACGGTTTTATGGTCGGCGGCCAAGGGGGAAGACGGTCCGTAGTCTGCCGGATAAGGGTGCGACTATGCAGACGCCTGCGAGCGAGAAGAGGCGAGACGCGATAAATATCAAAACCTGTCAGATATGTGCGAGAATCAGAAATTCGCTCTCGCCAGCGTTATTTCTCGCTTCTCGTTGGTGCATGGTTTTCCTTGGCGGAAACTAAATCGCTGGCAACCTCTCGCTCGCTCTAAATTCGCGTCTGCATAGTCGCACCCTAAAACTTCGCGGTTTAGCGAAAAGTCGCCAAACGGCGTCTTTTGTCGGGGGCGGTATTCTTTTACCGTTAGAACTTACCGCCGGAAGAACCGATAAATAGGTAGGCCCGGGCGCGTCTTACCAGTCGACGCCGCGACCACTTTCGTCCAGGCAGGAAGGAGACGATCGGCCTTCTTCGGCGCCGAAACACAGCGCGCAAAAGACGACGAGTACCTCCGCTGGCTTCATCTCTCTCACCCGGCTGGCCGGCCCTCGTCTTTATTTAATCTCCCGGACACGTGACCTTCCGGCGCCGGGTACTCGTTACCGAAGAAAAGGCGGTCGGGTTAACCGTATTTGGCCCATCCGATTTTTAGATTGGCCCGGACGACGGGCGGAAGTAAACGTTAATCGTAACGATTAGTATAAGCGGACTGGGCTTAATTAATAACGAGTGGGTCCGTAAGCGAAAAGGAAAACGGAACGACGACGGAGGATTTCGTCCGCCTCCGTATTTTCTTTGTCGATAATTTTACGCTACGAAATTTTTCTCGGCGCCATAAATTGTAAGACGAGTACGCCTTGTAAAATATTTTATCGCCGTATTGTAGGCCGAGTTTCTTTCCGTCGTCGACTCGGACGAAAAACGAATAAACATATTGGAATAAAAGTAAGTTCCTATCGCACTATTTTTATCGCCGCCGTCGGAAAATACGGTATTTGTTTCCCTACTCGATTAATAACTATTTTCTCTGCCAGATGGCGACGCCGTCGGTATATTTTTACTCTTTCTTCTACCGATCGTGGGTAATGGAGAAAACGTCGACCGAATCTAAAACCGTCGGCTCTTTCCGTCGGGATACTAGAATTAAAATTCCGCATTTAATTTAAGCCCGGGAAACGCTCTCCTTCCTTCGCCGGGCGCAATTACGTAAGCAAAAATTTCTGGACGTACATAAAATACAGTAAATTCTCGTCCATTTCCCGATTAAGCCGATAACGACTTTTCGAAATATAAAATTTTATTAATTTAAAGCGCCGTAAATCGCGCTCGACGTTCTACCGCTTTACGTCCAAATTCTACGAAATTATGCCACACTGGCGGCTAATTACGGAACGATTTC